GTATGGGGAAAAGGAACTGCATTGCAAATTTAACTCAAATGCTTAGCAAGTCTGTTTTTGAATCAGTTCACATACAAATTTAACACATCCTAACTGCATTTCTTTGAAGGGATCCAAACTTTTTCATGGGTTCAACTAAATGCTTTGCTACAGCACGTGTCTCGAATTTTGGAAACCTTGCCGCTTCTTCAGGTAGTAGTTCGTATTCTGAGCACTCATTTACTTGGTGTCTTTCTGGTTGTCGCGCTGTCACCGGTGGACTTACAAAGTCATCATCGGGGTTGGGGTCATTTGCATGTGGTTCCTGCACACCTTTGTGGTTTTCAGCTTCTTCTCTGCATAAATAATTTCTTTTACATATTAGCGAGTCTTTCATTCAACAACTATACACACTACATACTCTTTTGGACGATGCACAGATACATACGCTCCTATACACATGCACATATTCTCCATATTCATGCACAAATATTTACATAGTAATCCAAACGGCCAGCAATTCATATCCACAAATGCACTGCACAAGACCTATTCTTTTGAATGCACAGATTCATACATTTCACAGGCCCTACTATCTTGAATGCACAGATACATACACTGATATACACATGCACTTATTCAGCATATTCATGCCCAAATATATACAAATCACTCCATATGCCCGGCACTTCATATCCTCAAAAACAATGTCTTTTCTACACTATTGCATACATTAATAAATTGTTCTTCTCCCATGTTCTGGCATGCTTTACTGGTCCTATCTCTTTTTTCCTATTCATTTGCTTACTATCTAAACACACTTAGCAAAAGATAAACTTTATGCAATCTTTTATTGCACTTTAACAATACTTTATTCTTTCTCCAACTGCTAGGTTTGTGGTCCCCCATTCATCTTTTTCCAAATCTGTGCAAATGACATATTATATTCAATTTATGCATATTCAGTTTTTAATTACCTATTCTTCATATTGTACTATCCAATTTCTTATCACACACCCTATCTATTCCCGCAATTAACACCTTCTTCCCACCATCAATTCGTCATAATGCACACATAAACAAACAAGCCAAGTGGAAAACCCCCCAATTCTTCAACAAACACCCAATCTGTTCGGCCAATATTTAGTTTATCCATTAAAAAAAAAAAAAAAAAAAAAAAAAAAAAAAAAAAAACACAACCCACACTACCGGAAAAACCACCCCTACTGTCCCCCGTCCCACAATTCCACTCTAACACACTCTCTTTCAAGCAAGGAATTTCTCAAACATGTAATACAATTTTGCACACTTTTAAACACAGACTACCAAAAAAATTAAACGTTGCTGCTTACGAAGTTTACTTGTTGCCTCAATCAATGCACGCCGGTGACTTCTTCGTGGGGTTCCGTCCGCCATAGCTTCCTGCTTGCTCGCCGCCAGTGAGTTCGTCGTTTTCGTCGCACGGGAGCTCTGCGTCGAGGTTCCGTTCTCTACTCTTTTTCTTGTGCACTGCCAACAGATTTACTAGACATCCGGGGTAAAAAGTAAAACCCTATGCGTGATGACTCAGTGATTTCGGCCTTCCTTACTAATCTTGCACAAACATTTACCTAATTACCCTTTTCCCCCCTAATTAATTAATCAGAACCGTAACTTGTCTTATTTAGTGACCATTTAATTTCTCACAATCTGCATTTTACAGCCGTTAAATTGGGTTATCCTATGGTTGCAAACTGTCCACAGTCCTCACCTAACACACTAGCATCACTTGAACCTCACCCTATATATATATATATATATATATATATATATATATATATATATATATATATATATATATATATATATATATATAAGAGCTCATATGTGGTCATGTCATTAGATGTGGCGGTGTAGTCGTATCTGGATCGTTGAATCAGGGTAATCTAACGGCAGTGGCTAATTACTAAGGTTTTGAGGTTTTAAGCGCGTCTTGGTAAGTACGGGGTGTTATGGTAATTACAGTAGCCATTTATAGCGGCCGGGTTCCAGAAATACACCAACAGTGTCAACAACATGCACCAATAGTGTAATAAAACACACAATAGTGAAATACACCAATGGTGTATTCCCGAACACTGTATGGTGTATTTATTCATATGTAATGTCGCATTTTTGGTGATGCGTACCTAATTTGTGTATGTTTTTTGCTGTGCATTTTATAATATAGATGGTGTATATTTGTATAACAATTAGTACGGCCGCACTGACCACACGGGAAGGCGTTGCCACACCTGAACTTGGCACCAATGGGAATCTACAAATACACCATAGTAAGGCTAATAATGCACCAATTACACAAATAAACACACAATAATGTGATTTTTCCTATTTCGGTGCCATATGACGAGTTTACCCTTGCAGTTCGCTGGGAAAGAGAACGTGCGCGAAAATATTGGAAGAATCTTGATTAATGTGATTCGTTGGATCTATCTAATCTAATAGCCTGTAATTGACCACACCTAACAACATGACTACACTTTATCTCCCATATATATATATATAGGGAAAATGACACTTTTTCCCCCTGAGTTATATACCTATAGCATTTTTTCCCCCTAAATTATTGAAGTGGCTGTTTTTCCCCCTGAAATGTTAAATGGACATATTTACTCTTAAACTAAATATTTAATTTATTTTTTTCTCCAACAAATTATGACCATAATTTGGTTCAAACTAAACAAACACTATAGCAACCAAACCGAAATATTCCAATTACAATTTAGAATCGAAATTCGATATTTAGAGTTTATTAAAATCGTGAACCGGAACGGACGGTTCATGTTCCGAACTGAAAAAATAAAATACATTTATTGTTGAATTTAGACTATTTTAAAATAAAAAATAAAATTTTAAAATAAAGACGGTTCAAAACCGCGAATCAGATCTGGAACCGCCGGTTCACGGTTCAAGATTCAATTTTTTTGATACATAATTTTAATAAATTGACATTTAAATATTGGATTCTAGATCTGAATTATAACCGTAAACTATTAATTCGATTGCTTTAGTATCCGGTTCAATTCAAATCGAACCGTGGTCATCCCTACGTATACGCAATAATTGGTTGGAGTAGTAAAATAAATAAAATGTTTACTTTAAGGGTATAAATGTCAATTTAATATATCAGGGGGGAAAAAGCACCACTTTTAGAATAATTGAGGGGGCTAATGTGCTTACCTAAATAATTGAGGGGGAAAAAGTGCTATAAGTATATAACTCAGGGGTAAAAAATGCCATTTTCCCTATATATATATATATATATATATATATATATATATATATATATATATATATATATATATATATATATATATATATACACACACACACACACACACACTACAGAGTAGTATTTTTTTTATGCGCGATGCGCAAAAAATAAGTGTCCATTATTAGTATTTTATATTAAGATTTTTTATATTTAAATAATAATAATAATAATAATAATAATAATAATAATAATAATGTAAATCATTTTTATACATTTGATATTTATATGGTAGGAAATAACTAAGTGCATAAGATAAGAAAATACATGGTGGATGCATGTGCATGATAATAATAGTAAAAAAGATAACAAAAGTTATAATAGTAGATGTATGTTTGTCCAAAATATTGTAAAGTACAACTGGTTTATAATATAATGTATAAAAAAAATTTAACGGAAAAAACGGACATAAATAAACGATATAACCTTCATTCACACTTATTATGTTTTTAATTATATATATATATATATATATATATATATATATATATATATATATATATATAATTTTGTTTTTAAAATTCTTTTCTTGTTTCTTCCTAACCATACGCTCTATTCTTTTGCCTCTATCCTCTCAAGTCTCAACCTTACGCAGACCGCAGACCGCAGCCATCAGCCATATTTTCTTTTCCATTGAATTATATTTTATTTATAACAGCTTAATAGAGCAAAGGAGTTAGTAAAGCAAGATCCCAAATTCAAAGGTGGATTTAAGTTTGATCATGTATGGCCTATTGTCAAAGACATGCAGAAATTTTGCAGAACTAGAAGCTTGCTAAATGTTGGAGGTCGAAAAAGAACTTTCGAAGGATCACAATCACAATCTTCGAAATCGAGAAGTCATTAGGCTCTTCCTCATTTCCTGTTGATTTGAATGATGATTTTGAATCTGATGAACATTGTAATGAAATGAACAATGTAGTTGAACGTCCTACGGGAAGGAAGAAGGAAAAGATGAAGCAAAAACTCTCGGATGGGCGCAATCAATTTATTGCCACAATGGAACAACAAACTACACAATTCAAAGGAATGTTCGAACACAATCATGAGCTACTCCAAAAACAATATGAGTTTGATTTGTTTAAAGCTCAAAATGCAGCGAACAAAATAACATTGGCAAAACAAAAAGAAGATAACAAAATCTTAAGAGTGAATTTAAATTTGATAGAAGATCCAGCTGTGCGTGAGTCGATTAGACGCCAACAACTACAAATTGTTGCAAAGAGAAATCAAGAGTATGGAGAAGGAGTTGAATCAAATCGTAAATTTGATCAATACTTTAACAATTTGGGAGGAAGTGAGAGTGGATTAGGAAATTATTAATTCTATTATATATTTTTTTTTAAATTGTGTTGTATTTTCTAATATTAATATTATGTCGTATGTATTTTAATTTGTATTATGTTCTAGTCATGTTTGATGTATCTCGTATGTATTTTAACTTTTATTATGTTCTAGTTATGTTTGATGTATTTGAAATTTTAATTAATATATATTCAATATTAGTCTTGTTTCGATCGTATTAATGAGATCTTTAAAATGGTATAATTTTTATTTAATAATACAAACTTTAAATATAAGTATTTAACAAAATAAAAAATTATATATAAAACAAATAAATGATACATTTGAAATTATAAAAAGAAGCAAGAACAAAAGTCGTGCAATTCTAGCTCCTACGCTAGATGTAGTCAATGAGATTAATGATTACATGAACGACAAGAATAAATTTCAAAGTAAAACATACCTTAGTTGCGACACTATTTGCAAAGCTGATTCAAATAATGGTATATTAGGGGATGTGCATACTACTGAGTTCATAAATGGTATACGAGCTTCTGGTGTACCAAATCATGTTTTGATATTGAAGGTTGGATCACCGATCATGTTGCTAAGAAACATAGATCACACAATGGGTCTTTGCAATGGTACTAGGTTGGTTGTGAGCAGACTAGCTGAGCATGTGGTTGAAGCAAAGATTATGACGGGTACTCATGTAGGTAAAAAGGTGTTGATAGCAAGAATGTCAATGACGCCTTCAGACCCGAGATTTCCGTTCAAATTCCAGCGTAAACAATTCCCAATTATGCTGTCATACGCAATGACAATCAACAAAATTCAAGGGCAAACTTTAACCCATGTAGGCCTGCTGTTGAAGAAACCAGTATTTGTGCATGGTCAATTGTATGTTGCGGCATCTAGAGTAACAAATCCAAAAGGCTTGAAGATTGTAATTTGTGATGAAAATGGTCAGGATAGTAATTCCACAATTAATGTGGTTTACAAAAAGATCTTCAATAATCTATAATTTAATTTGACACATTCATTATTCATCATCTTTATTATTAAGTTATTTTGTAATTTGTAAATATAAAAAATAATATTATTTCTTCATAATATTTAATATTACAATATACTTAACTGAATGTTACAATAAATAAATAAATAAATAAATAAATAAATAAATAAATAAATAAATAAATATATATATATATATATATATATATATATATATATATATATATAAATATATATAATATAGTTTAATAATGTTACCAATAATTATCACAATAATTATAATGAAATTTTAGTCCGTGCATCGCACGGGTGGCATACTAGTTATAAAAAGAAGCAAGAACAAAAGGGTAATTTTCTTATATATTTAATTTGCCGCGGATGAACTGAAATTTGATGCACGTTGGAGATGCTCTTAGCTCCTGCCTCCACGCCCCAGCCAGCAGCTCCAGCAGCTCCATCACTCCATCAGTCCTTCAGAACTCTTCATCGAAGATTTGTAGATTCGCGGCCCATTACTCCACGCCTCCACCGACCACCGTCTTCCGGCTATTCTCCTCCGTGGCTCCGTCCGTTCACCATTCGTCCACCATTATAGATTTATAGCCTAAGGTTCGAACCAATCTTCATTATTCTTCAACTTTATTCTCTTAATTAGTTTGCTCTAATGGCTAATTCCATAAAAATAATGATTGATAAATCCCTAATTGGCTAATTCCCTAAATTATCAATCTTCATCCCAATTTGATTATGTTCGTGTGTTCAATGTGTAAGACTGTAACTCTGTGTTAGTTCATGTGTGTGATACGAATCAATACAAAATTAGGATTCCAAAGTATTGATGTGTTTTTGCAGATTTTGATGAATTTTATTGGCAGTGTGAGTGTGTGAGAGTGTGTGAGTGTGCGACATGAATGATTTTGATGAATTTTGTTAATTGATTGTATAAAAAATATATAGCTTTCTCATTGGATTAAGAATACATCATTTTGTCAATTAGTGTTGAAGATTAGAGACTGTCTAGTGTTTTATTTTCAGAAATTATGCTTTGCTTAATTGTTTATGTTTATCAGTTTATTTGTTTGCTGGAAAATTCTATGTTTTCTTGTTTAGATTATATATATTTTTGGCTTCAGTTATGTAAAATTCTTAATTCAATGAGAAAACTATATATATTTTTTTGTATTTGAACGTTTTTTTAATTAATTTTACTTTTGCTTCTTCGCCCTCACTCAAAGGAAATTCTGACTCTGTCACTGGAAGAAAGAACTGCGATCATTAAAGATTTGAACTCTCGTCTCCATCCGCGTGTCTGTACACCACAATTCGATTCACCCAAGTTTCCTGATTGTTCTGCAAAAATGTTCAAATTCTGGTAAACTATTTTTCTGGTTAAGCTTTTTAGTTTGATTCGGAATTTGATTTTCTTTTGGAGATTAGTTTATGAATTACTGCTGTTATTAGCTGTAGTGATTATTATGCTATGAAGTTCCGATGTTTAGAATTCTGCTCTTCGGGTTTTGTCTCCTTTGTGAACGATTTTTCTAGGTTTGATGTATTGTATTGACGCCTTTTCTCCTGGTTCCTGTGTAAGGATATATTTTGAGGTATTCAGAGATGGGGAGAACCTTTTGAGTTCCAGTTATCGTTCAATATGAATCAGGAAATTGTAAACTAGGTCACTATAACTCGTGATTTTTTTATCCTGCATCCAAACTTTCATTCATTTATGCAGAAGGAAATAGAAATTTTTATAATATGTGTGTTTGATCGGGTTCATTTACAAGTTCCAACTGAGGAGGTTTTAGCTTTTGCTGTAGTCTGTATTTCTTTCATTTAACTGAAATATGTGAAATTCAGTTCTGCAATTTGATTTATTGTCATAATGTAAGTGATTTGGGGTGTGTATTGACAAATATTCATATCTTCAGGGGTTCTCAAGAGCAACAAGCTCCGCCACATCCACAGGAAATACCTACAGAGTCATGGTATCCATCATCTGTGGTCAGCTCTCCTAGTTCTTCCCGCCCCACAACACCTAGTCCGAGCTCCTCTGGAAGCTTCAGTGTATCAAGGCCTTCTGACAGACAGAATTCTGCATCACACGTATCTCCTGCAGAGGCTGCTGGTATTATAGCTGTGTTAAAAGATAAGAGGTAGGAGCTGCTGTACAATATACATCTTGTCATTAGACTGCATATTTTTCTTAATAAGTTGCTGCCTATCTTTTAAGAGGTGATCTGCTGCAATTTTTGTTTTTCTTGATAATATGTGCCCAAAATTAAAAAAATTCTCCCCAAAGCCTCAAACTTTCAATCTTGCATGTTAATTCTCACAAATCTTCCCCATTGGCTACTTTGCTACTCTGAAATCTGTTTATTTTTCGTAATCCTGAATTTTATTAAATTTTTGTTTAGTGTTGAGGATCTTCGGAAGCTTTACACTGACAAGGATGCTTATCACAACTTTCTACTTTCACTTGAGGCCGTCAAAACTCAAAATAATGTGAGTTTCAAATCTTGGGTTTTAAGAATTCATTATTACTGCCTTGTATATGTTTTCCTTTGTCTGATTGATTCTAGTTCTTTTATTTGAACTAAGATGTCTTCCTTAATAAAGTACAGACTGAGTTGTTGGATTAGAAGATAACTAAAATTATTACTAGTTCAGTATTTAAGAAAATTAACCAGGTCAATATCTGGAATTCTGGATGAATATATTTGGATGGAGATTATTTGACCAATGATGCTAATGGGTGTTTTTCTCATAACATATCAACTACAATATGATTTATATCAGTGTTATCAAGGCGTCGTCTAGGTGTCCGGTCGATCGAGACCGAACGCCGTGTGCTCGCCTCGCCTAAGTGCAGAATACAACCCAAAACTTCACAAAAAATACATGGGCAGAACCTACACACTAAGGCGAGTTGACTGGTGTAATTTCCAACCGGAGAAGTCGTCGGAATCTGCTTCACGTGCCGGCGTGTGGCGTCGGAGCAGCGGCGTGTGGTGGCTCCGATGGCGGCGCGGTTCGAGCTCTGGCGTTGTCCTCCTCCTGCTCAAATCAAAGCCCACTACCTCACTTTGGCATGTTATCAATAAATACTAGACTTCTCACTACCCTAGGAAAAACTATTCATCTTCTCAAGACAACTTGAAGTAAATAGGGTTGCAAAAAGGCTGCCCAAGACAAAGATATTTTCAATATACAATAAATACTAGACTTTTCACTATTCTAGGAAAAACTATTCATCTACTTAAAGTAAATAGGCCAGCAAATAGGCTGTCCAAGACAAGATATTTTCAATATATATATATATATATATATATATATATATATATATATATATATATATATATATATGTTCTTTTTTATTTATTTAATACTCATCGCCTAGGCGGTCGCCTAGTCAACTAGGCAGTCGGTGGCATCTCGCCTAGAAAGTCCGCCTTGATAACTATGATTTATATTTAGGGAAATGTTGAACTTGTTTAGTTATTGAAAACTGTGATATGTATGTGCTTTGTGCTTGCTACAATGATGTATGCTTCTGAGTCTGGAAAAGAATCACTGCTGTCTCAGTCTTTCACTCTTTCCACTTCATCATCCTTGAAAACCAAACTAAACAATCAAGAGCATGGTTCAACTTTCTAGTTCTAGGCTGTATCTGTTTTCAATCTTGCTCTTTATTTTCCATTATTTTCCCCTTTTCTATGTTTTTTTTTTTTTTTTTTTTTTTTTAATCTTCTTTTTGTTTGTTTTAAAAAGGAATGAACTCCAGCAGTCCAGCTTACAGTGGGAAGTTGGCACACCCCTCTTTTAATTTATCTTTTTGGTATTGGAATAATTGATCTGAATTGATATTTAAACTGTTTGACTGTTTTGTCGTATCTATTAATTTTCTAATAGGTAAGGGATGAACTTCGTAATGAAACTATGCAGCTTGCTAGTAAGTTCCTGGCCAGTTTTGTGATGAAACTCTGTTTCTTTTAAAAATGCTATATACAGATGCATTTTAAACTCTCATCTTGTACACTGTACAGGGGAAAATCTAGAAAAAGAACCGAGGATCATGGAGCTTAGAAATCAGGTCAGATGTTTAAAAAATGTTGTAGTAAATGTATAGTAGACAAAGTTTTAACATTAAAGCATTGATTGTGGAGGACTTTGGTGTTGTGGATTACAGTGCAGAATAATTCGAACAACTGAATTAGCTGCTGCTCAGGAAAAGCTGCATGAACTTGAAAGGAGAAAAGGGGAGCTCCTGAAGTTGTACTCTCCTGCATCCCTTCTTCGTCGACTTAATGGTAAATAGATATACTATCTTATGATAATATAATTATTTTGGGATTCAGAAGTTAACATGATTTTGGTTTTCATAACAGAGGCAACTAATAAAACAGAGGAGGAATCTGATACCCTACACAGGCAGCTTCTTGATCAAGAAATTGATCTCTCTGCATTTGTGCACAAGTACAAGAAATTGCGCCACACCTACCACAAACAAGCACTTACTCACCTTGCAGCCAACACATCCATAACTGCCTAAAAACTACTCCTCAATGGACTGCCATTTTACTCCATTTCTATACTACTAATGTTTTTACTTTTTACTGCCGGAGCTATGACACTCATGTCCATCACTCCATCTTGTCTTTAACTGCCATTGGTGATGGATACTTTTTCATTATGGGGTGAAATAAATCCTAGTTATCTCATCTTTCTTCTTGTCAAGTTGGCCTCTTTTGGTTTCCATCATTCTATCCTACTCGTTTATTGCAAAAAAATGTGCATAAGAACTACAATTGCAAATGAACTTACACGGTAATAATGACTTCTGGGATTCAAGGTGCCGTTTGATGGTAAGTTGGTATATAAATTGATACAAATGGGAAAATTTTCAGCGGTGGACAAAGTTGGGTAACTTTGAAAACTGAATAACCTTAGGAAAAGTGTCACGTATTACTCCGTACTAGGGATGGCAATGTGCTCCGTCCCCAACGGGGATCCCCGATCCCTGCCCCGAAAGAAACGAAGATGGGGAAAATTTTTAAAGAATGGGGACTGAGACGGAGATATCCCTCCCCGCCTCGCCTCGTCTCTGAATAATTATATATATATATATATATATATATATATATATATATATATATATATATATATATATATATATAAAAGTACTAACAGTATACTATATATATGTGTAATGAACTATATATGTATTTTATAATTAATGTTGACACTGTATATAATTGGCAGTTTTGCACTGTACTATATAAGTTTATATAGTTAGTTTTGCACGGGCAGTATATTATATATATATATATATATATATATATATATATATATATATATTGAATCCAGTGAGACCACTCCAATCAGGCGAGATCATGCGATTCCATTTCATCCATTGATAAAGTTTCAATTGATGGATAGGATTGAAAGTCAAATAACAATTAAATAATGATAGATTTGAAAGATAAGGATGAAAGAGTAATTGTATTTTGGTTTTTAATTTTGGTTATATTTAAAATAGAATCTTACCAGAATATTAGGGAACCTATCAATAGTAATATTTAATTATATTTTGTACATTTGTAATTTTAAATTATGAGAATTTTACGATGGTGTGTGCGTGGGTGTGGAATGGTCTGTGCATTTTATTGTAACAGGGCTCGTACACCATGGCGTGCTGATTTTTTTTTATTTTTATTTTTTTTTATAAAATTATGCGTTTTGGTATGTGCGTTTCGTGATACATGCATGTACATTTTGATTTATGTGTTACTAGTTTTGGGCGTGTGCGAAACGCATTCAAAAGAAAACAAAAATATACGAATCTAATTTGGGTATCGGCGTTTGAATTTTGAGTAAATAATCAGTGCGTAGTAGATATAGTATTGGGCTTGTTGTATTTTTTTTTTTTTTTGGAAATTTTACGGTGGTGTATGCGCGGGTGTGGAATGGCGTGTGCGGTTATCTGTAATAGGAGGTGTACACCATGTCAAAATATAAAACGCACACACCATTCCACACCCACGCACACACCACCGTAAAATTCCCCAAAATTTAAAATTTCTGATGTACAAAATATAATTAATTATTACCATTGATAGGGTCCCTAATAATTTAAAATAGGCAGAAGTGTCAAATAGCCCCATCTACTATAGTCAAGTGCTCAATTCCCACCACGAACTAAAATATAATCTAATCAGCCACACTTACTTCCTAAAATTGTTCGATTAGCTTTTTTTGCAGGTTACCTCCAGGTTGCCAATTGAATTGCTGACATGTAATTTTATTAGAATAAAAGTGTATGGTGAGATGGAAATTACTTCTTAAATCTCTTTTGACCGCGAGAACCCTAGTCCAAACCAAACAATCTTCGCAAATCGCCATTGTTGAATTATTCTCCGTTCATTATTCACAATCGCGGATCAATCTGGGCTTCCTCCACATAAACATCCGGATGATATTCCTAATTAAAGAGGTCTGGAAAATGTTGTCTGATTCTTATCCCAAGATTATATAGTTCATCTTCTCCGGCCTTCAGCAATCAGCTGCCCACCTGTGCGCTTTCCCTTCCATGGAGGCTTCCACCCATGCAGCCAAGCAGGAACTTTCTCCAAAGATTTCCTCTCTTCTTTTGCATCTTTCAGAAGGACTTCTAAGTGGTTGGCTAAGGCATCTAACTCCATTATCTTTTTCTTTGTTGGAGCACGAGTGCTATGCCTTGCCAATAGATTTATGTGTATTGGGGTACATTGGTCGGAAATCTCCAGAGCTATAATTGATTCTTCTGATAGTATATCTTTCACAATACTATACCTAGATACAGTACAGAGATGTTTCTGAACATCGAAACTCCTTCCGCACTTGAATATAGGGTAAATTCATTGAGAAAAATTACAAATAAAACTGCGACTTCACCGGCCTTCTTCATCTCTTCAGAGTTGCGGTGTGGTGGTCGGAGCTGCGGGGGAGGCAAAGGATTTCGAGGAGAGAAAATTACAGATGGAGGGTTACAAAATATTTTGTTAATTTTGTTATTTTAATGTCACGTAATCACTGCCACATAATCATGACCGGGCCAAGTCAGACTCTACTGGAGGTAACCTGAAAAAAAAGTTAATTGAATAAATTTAAGAAGTAAGTGGGGCAGATTAGCCTATATTTTAGTTCGTGGTGGGAATTGAGCATTTGACAGTAGTAGATGGGTCTATTTGACGCTTCTGCCTTTAAAATATCAATTTCCATTCATAATCTCCCTACTATAATGCTTAAGATTCCAATTGAATTATATCCATAATTAAACATATATCTACAATTACTATTTAATCGTTTTGATTTCAATATATCCTTAATTACTTTCACAGTCTCTTATAGTCTCAACCATTCATGAAAAACGAATCAATGGATATCTCTCATAATCTCTTCTAGTATAGGGGTTGCACCAAATTCGAAGCCTATATATATATATATATATATATATATATATATATATATATATATATATATATATATATATATATATATATATATATATATATATATATATATATATATATACTAGTTCTTTTACACGCTTTGCGCGAATGGAATAATGCCCAATGGTTATTTTTAAATAAGTATTTTAAAGTATATCAATGCAATATTATATCGGAGATGTTCATGCATAGGTAAATAAATTAAATGTTGAATTTATTTATTTAAATCGGTAATTTAAAATATATAAATGCAAGATAATATATGAGAGATTGATTATATTGTCACTAAAATAAATATTTGCAACTTTGTAATAACGCTAGTCTAAATACTTAGTCTAAAAACGATAGTCTAAATAAATAGTCCGATATTTCTTAAACTCAATCATCCACTTGTTCATATGGTCCTCAAAAAATTCAGGTTTTTCTTAGAAATTCAAGGAATAGAATATTATACAGAACAGCCTTTGAGACTCTATATAGGTCTTTAGAGTTGCAGCTGTGGAAGACCCAGAAGCCACTACCTGATCAATCAAAATTGCAGTAGTACGCTTAAAGACTTCTAACAATGGCTTTGCAAAATTATCAAGGAGCAACTCATTGGTCTTAAACTGGTATCAGAACTTCTTAAACAAGGAATTCAAGGTGGTTAACAAGCCATTTACAAACACATAATCATTCACTTGGCTTAGCTTATCAAGACTGGAAACAAGCTCCGGCAACAAGGCAGGCCACGCTTTAGAGAGAAGGAGCGTGAAGAAGATGACAAATTACGGAGAGATTCCTATCTTATGAGCTATCTGCCATTAAAAATGAAGTATGAAAGCCAAATGACATATTTACCCATGATTTTGACGGTTGAGATGGAAGGAAGTAACCGAAGGATGGTAGCATGTCAAATTTCGTAACTCGGAGGACCACGGATGGTAATTACAAAAGTTAGGAACTAAAGGTGGTGAAACCACCAAACTCGAGGGACCTTGGCTGGTATTTACTCAAAACCTCTTTGTAAATGACATTGGTAGTAATAACAGAATTTTGTCCATCCTCATCTAGAGCTAAAACCTTTAGGCCATCAGAATGGGTGACTCGGGAAAAAGTCATGTACACCTAAAGGGAAATCTAGTATCAGAAGGGGTTAGAGACATTTGTGGGATAAGAACTTTGGTTTCTTGATGTGTCTCATTAACTACTATTCTTGCTTCGACAATGTGATCTGACAATCTTGTGACAAGAGGCGCATACCATTGCAAAGATTAAGAGAGTGGTCTATGTTCCGCAATAACATAACAGGTGGACCAACCTTTAATGTCAATGAATGATTAGGAAGTCCAGACAACCTCAAACTATTTAAGAATTCAGGAGTGTGAATTTCTGATAGATTTTCCTGTCTGATTCTGCCTTACACAAAGAGTCACAACTTAAATATGTTCGATCTTCCATAGTGTTTATGTCGCATATGTACTGATTAATTTTATCAACGACATCTAAAGTCGGTGAGAGGATCGCTCGGCCTTCTAGGTGCGACTCATCAAACATGTCATATCCTGCGCTTTGGAAGGTGCTTTCCACTATAGTTGCTATTAGATCGTGTCCACACTTCAATAGAAACCTGTCGGAATATCAATCTCAGACAAACCGTCGTTAACAACCCCTGTAATCCCATATTCGATGTCTGCAATCCATATTGAAAACCAATCAACCGCCTGTCTATCTTCCTCTGAAGCTACGCTCTGTAGTCTCAAGTTATTCGTGAGCCTCAATGCCTTGCAATTTGTCCAGAGGTAGGAAGAATTAATAGTGGCTCCGACAACTATTGTTAGCGTTGCTATCGAAATAACGGGAAGAATCTTTCTTAAATCACCGTCCAAAACTACTATTTTTTCACCAAATGTCTTTTCAGCTCTATTCGGTATGGCGAACCTCAATAGATCCCTCATGTTTTTCTCTAAAGCCTCAAAATAGTATTTGTAGTTCATCGGTGCATCGTCCCATATTATCAATTTGCTCCTTATTATAAGCCCAGCAAGGTCAATTGCCTTGCAATACATTGCACGTGGAATCTTCATTCAAAGAGAGTGGTATACCAAATCTGGAATGCCCCGCCTTGCCTCCCGGCAAGAGCAAAGATGTTATTTTACTCGAAGCAATGTTGAGAACAATATCACCGTGGCTCATTATCTTTGACAATAACGTTCTCCACACGAACATCTTGCTTGTTCCTCCGTAACCATACACAAAGAACAATCCACCTCCATTAGAATCAATATCATTCATCACAGAGTCGAAGACATTCTTTTGCTCGTCCGTCAATTGTGTTACCAACATTTCATGCTCTGTCTTCAACGATTCATTGTCATATGCCAACTCTTCGGCTACCAACATGTTTTCTATCAAAACCCATGATGTTTTCGTCTGGAATTAGCATTTCTGGAAAGTCCCTCAAGCTCTTCCCCACAAATATAACAACTTCTCCAACTCCACCAGAGGCAATTGTTTCTTATCCGAATCCGATAACACCAACTTTTATTAATAGTATAGATTAATTAATATTCATATTACTAGTACTCCACCCATGCGATGCACAGACAATGTATGTATGTGTGTGTGTGTGTGTGTGTGTGTGTGTGTGTGTATATATATATATATAAAGAAGACAATTATTACCAATATGTATGTAACAAACAATGAATAATATACAAATTTTATAGATTATTAAACACCTCTTGGGATTGATTTGTCGGTAATTTGCTCGGATACCATATAAGTGATGCATTGCACGGGTACCATATAAGTTGTGTAACTATTATGATGTTAATTCTTTCTTTAGCAATATGAAGTTGTTTGTTTATAACTATTGAACATCAGAACATAATATCAATATATATTATAAAAAAAATTGTCTTATTCTATTTTTGTTGATAACACATTCAAAATATGTTCAAATATTATAATTATTAGTATAACACTTGTGTGGCGCACATACTACAATAATTCTTTCTGAAAAATATATTATAAACACAAATAAAAGATTAATAAATAAATAATTGCATTGGAAAATATAAATTTGAACATGTAATAAAGAAATATATTATTAGAAACTATTAATGTTATTAAATTTTACATATAAAAAAGAAATATGAGCATTTTATTCATTTTTAAATTTCTGTTATTTAATAATTATGTTCATATGCTATGAAAAATTATGAATCCAAATATTTTTAATTAAAATAAAAATTGTTAGTGATGATTTCATTCAATATTTGAAGTCGATTACTGATTTCAAAAATTTTCAAATTATATTTTTTATAATTACAATGTAGTATCTGTTCATATACTTTCCTTTCTCAACCTACCGAAGTACAAAAAATCAATAACGCCTCTATTGAAGCTCAAACTCACAACCTTTCAAATGGAAATCTAACCTGAGTACCATTAGATCACATAATCTTAGTACATTATCTTATCTTTAAAAGTTATTTTAATTATAATTAAGTGTATTATGATAATTTTAATTTGAACAATGAATAATAAATTTGAATAAAATCAAACTATTCTGACATAATACAAATAAATGCAAATTAATTTTCCAATAAATATATTATAGATTATAGATAGAAAATGTAACTCAATTCAATTAAATTTTTTATTAACTTGGAGTAATAACATAAATTAAACTTCCAAAATATAATTCTTAAAAATTATTTTCTTAAACAAAAAATTAAAACAAAATAAAATATTAATACAAAATATACAAAATAAGTGTCTTATACAAAAATCAGCAGCCCAATCCATTCTTATCAGTTCTAATATATATAACCCAATACACAACCCAAAACCAAAGCCCAATATTGGAACCCAAACCCGACCATATAAATACTAAACCTAACCTGATCTCTCCGCCCCTATCCCATCTGCCCTCTCTCTACGATTCTAGAAACCAGAACTCATGAGAAGGAAATTCCAGATTTCATCCTCTCCGCAGATGCTAACCCTTTCTGTCTCCTTCTATGAACCTCTCACCGTCTCTCTATGTTTCGAAACCTCTCTGTTACTTTGTCTTGGCGCCTCCGGCTCTCTGCCCCCTCGAGTCTCGCCTTTTGCTGAATCGCCGCCTTAAGCCTCGCTCCCTCCTTCATTATGCGACTATATCTGGAAACATCAACACAAGCAGGAAAACAAATCAAATCTAAACAAATAGGTTGTTGGTTTTAGGGTTTTTGGGCCCAGGGAGGTCCAACACAACCTCAGTTGGTGGATTCACCTTCCAATAAAGCTTTAAGAAAAATGCAGTAGCAAGAATGACGTCTCTCTATTATCTGGGCATGGACTCGCCCCTTTTACATTCACGGAGGGCCCTTTATATAGTAGGCCCTCCTCTACCGAGTTAAGGCTCATTTAAAAGACTACTTTAAGACTAATTATATTTTAGGGCCGTTGGGTGGTGTTACCAGGCCAGCCAACGGCTCTCTCCGACTCTCAACGGCTTGCTTGGTCGAGCCTCTTAACTGCGGCCATAAATGCCGGGCAACGGATCTCTGCCGAGTCGCCACCTGGGCCTGGGCTGACCCCTGGACTCGACCCTGGCCCCTGTTGGGCCCTATAAACCTGTTATCCGCTGGGTCGTGTCTTTACACACTCTGGGCTCCTTCTGCTATCCATGAACTCTACCTCTTGGGCCTTGTTTTTCTTAGGCCGGGGTCCACACCCTATCATCTAGTCCCTCACTTTCTCATACCCGGGCCTCTAACTCGGGTATGGGAAAGTAGCAGTATCTCCTCCCTTTAATCAGCAAATCTCCTATTTTAATTGTCCGAGTAACGCCCGAATTCTTCGCCATCTCGCCTAATTCACCGGGGCCGTTTAGATTCCTCCTTTGCTCCGGGGATCCTATAAATAATGTTCTAGTTTCTTCACTTTCCATCACCTCTTTAATCAACCATGGGTCTCTCCCCTTTGAAAGGAAAGAGGATAGACTTTGGGTCGCCTCGACGTCCTCTTCCCTCGAAGTGGTCAAGGCCCGAAAAGGAGGGTAAAAAAAAGGCTGCTCGGCCATCCTCTCGGAGGCTCCCTACTGGTACCACTTCCTCTGTTCTGCAGCCGCCGACCCCCAGTCCTTCTCTCGTGGCGAACACTTCAACATCGGCCGACCTGCCGCCACCTACCCTGGCCAGGGTTACTGCACAAGATGGATCTTTTGTAGAGGTGGCCGTCCCAGAGCAACTATCCTTCCGCATGACCTTCACTATCCCACTTGACGATCTGGATGGGCCGGCGACTGATCTGATGACCGATGCTGATTTCGCTCGATACTTGGAGTTATACCCAGATGATGAGGCGCTGGTGGTGCCACCGATTATGCCAGCTTTCTGGGATTCCTTCTGCTCGTCTCCTACTGGACCATCGGAGGAGATGTTCTCTAAGAATGATCCTTCCTCTCCTGACGAGTGATCACCTGGAAACTGCCCACGAGGCTTTCGGGAAGGACTACAAAAGGAGCACTTTATACACTTTTATTTGATGTAATAAGCTCCTTGGCCTGTGTATTTCCTTCTTGATTAATAAAACTACTTTTATTTCTTCTTTTCGAGGTCTTTGCTTTTTACTCGCCCAAACTCACCGGTTGACTGGTCTCGGAGTCGGCCAGATGACAAATCCTAAAGTCTGACATCTGCGATCCGTATCACTGGGAAATCCCGCCTTTTCAGTTAACGTGCGAATCTTCCTCTTCCCAAGCGCAGTTGATGAAACCATTCTCTGAAAAAGATTCACAAATCCCATCTCGCCCTGCCCTATGACAACTATGATTCTTTCCGCGATTTCTGCCTGGATATTCGCTCCCATTTTGGGCTATATAAGGGGTTACTTTCAATTGTACTCCTTACACCTTCTGATCCAGCAACCTCCATCATGAGTTATCGAACCGGTGATCGTCGCTTCTCCATTCGTCAAAAGGAACAGGTTCGACTGGAGAAGCTAAGGCAAAAGAGGCTGGCCAACGGTGGCCACTTGATGGGGGACTCTTCCTCAGATCCCATCGTCGTGCCGCCGGATATGTTAGACTTGATCCCCGTGGATTCGGATGAGCATCAAGTGGAGCCGGCGATAGAGGAGTCGGCACCAGATGAGGAAGAAGTGTGGGAGGTTCCTCCTCTCTTTGGGGTGGCCATGTCTCCCAGCGCCCTTGAGAGGCCCCTCCAAATGATCGATGACGGGAAGCCGACCATCTACTTGGATGAGGTGCCAGAGCCGGAGCCGACTCCTCCACCCTTCCGTCCACAGCTCTTCCTGGAAGGCCCACCTCCTGCTCGCCCTGCGGAAGAGAAGGGCGATCTGTGACCTCTTACCTCTTCTTTTAGCTTGTAACTTTTGGCCGAGATACAGGCCTTTATCTCGTTCCGATTGATAAACTGTTGCTTTCTTGCATTGTCATGTATGGCCTATTATTCCGAACTCGTGTAATAGAGTCGGCCTCACTCACCCGACGCTACTGGCGTCGACTGGTGGTGTAACACCCCATGTTACGACCCCTAAACCAAATTAATTAATTAATTACTCACCCTAAAAAGGGAATTAAAATCCATTAATTAGCTATAAGGGGTCCACCATAGTCCATGGGCCCTTATCCCTAAAACCAACCCCTTAGTCCTATAAGGAATAGAATTGGCAAGCCCATACCATTTAGACCCTAATTAGGACTCATAGATATACAAATAGGGACATAGGAGGCACCTAGAACTCACACCACAATAACTTTCACCACACAAGAATTCTCATAAGAGAAATCAAGAAAGAAAAATCTTAAAGAAAAATCCTTCATAGCCAAGGAATTTAATTAAGGCTAAAAGGTAACTCATGTCTCAAAAAAACCTATTTTCCTGGCTATAATCTCCTTCTTTGGCTCCCTCTATATGCTTGTGTCTTGATGAATTCCTTTATGATAATCGTGATATAATCTTATTTGATTGAGGTGATGAGTTTATGTGTGATCTTGATGATCTTGATATTAAAAAGAGGTTCTTGATATTTATGTGATGATTCTTGATGTTAGAGATAAAATATGATCTTGATAATGTGGATGGGAACTAGAGCCCTAGGTTGGATTGGGAATTTGTATTGTGATGTTCTTGATTTATATTTGGGTGGGAATTCGCATGTTCAGGTGTTTATGTTTAGAAGTCATGTTAGGACGTATTCAATATGACCCTTGCTTTTGATCCGTTAATTGCCTACGTGGTGTCGTTATTTTCATTTAAAAGTGTCAAAGCATGGTTTCGGGTTCCACAAAAGATCCCGGGACACGTATTTGATGAAAGAGTCAGTGGGGGGTAGGTGGGCGTAGGGGACCCGCCACCTACCGGCTGCCCGAGAATCACCGCCAGGCA